AAGGACTCTGCACTTTTGTTATCAAAATGAACCAATAAGAACTATAAATACAGTTTTCATTTATAATGAGCCTTAAATTTGTATGTTTCATAAGGAAAACTTCTGTTTCACTAATGAACTGAAATAACATATTCTGGAGGTAAAAATCTTAGCTTTATGGGAGTAAACAAGGAACAGAGTTTAGTAATGTTAGGACTGGGCCCAGGAGTTGTGAAAGCACTATCAAGTGTGGGAGCTCTCAGCCTGCTTTTAGAGAAGCTGGCTGAGTATCTCATCCAAAGTGTCAGGAAAAACAGGCTGATAAAAGGCATCTGGGAGCAGACTCATTGTTTTTCATTTTTACATGTACTCTGTGTATTTTTGTAAAAGTTCTACGTAATTGTTAGGAGTCCAGAGTGGTGAGAAAATGCTGACCTAAAAGTGAAATGTGAAGCTTAAAATTCAGGCCCAAACTAAATAATAGGTGCTATAGTCACATGCATTGGGGCTCAGACATTCTCTTCACATGAGGGGATACAGTTTTTTTCTTTTAGCTTAGTCTGCTTTTGCTTTATTAGTCTTGTAGCTAAAGATGGATAAAAAAAATCTAATAAGAATTTATTTGAATTTTCCTTCCACAGGGATAGACTGCCCTAATTTGTAGCTTCATGATACTCAATATTCAAGTGGCATTCAGGTGCCTAGTCTGCACTCTAAATGTCCTTTCAAGTCTTGGAAATTCAGTGCAACTGTTTACTCCACAAAATATTCCAGGCATTCATTACCTTGTTTTGCACAAGAGTTTCCATAATTTACCCAGAAAAGTGTTATAGCATGCTGCAAGCAACAGACAGAAAAAATCCCAATAGCAGATAGGCACAAGGCCATCTGACCTCTAAGACATCTGTGTACTTGGGGAGTGGTGAGAATGGGTGTGAGGCAGGAGTGCAGGGAGCCACTGTCCAAGTTGGCACAGGTAATGTTAAGGTAACTTAAATATCCTTACAACATGCTTCAGTCCAGCCCTGGTGAGTGGGATGTCACAAAAGGGCCGAGGAGGTGTTGGACAATGTCTCTGGAACAGTGCAGAGTAGACAACAAGGCAAACCATCCCACCACAGGCTGCTACATGGGCACCAGTTACACAGCTCCTGTCAGGTATTGATGGTACTTGCACCAAAGTCCTCACACCAAACTTTCAAACCTTAGGGGCATTGAATAGTATTGAGAAGTATTAAGTTACCATTTTATAGTAAGGTTATTTTTGCAATGCAAAATTGGTTTTAAAAATATTATTATCGTTAGGCATTTCAGATTCTGTGTACAATTACAAGTCAAATTTAAAATCTGGAGTTCAAGTCATGGTTTGCTTAGGTTCTTGTGAAATTTTCCTCAGAATAAATTAGCCCATTGTGGGAATTATGTGAAAAATACCTACAAATCCTAATTACTTGTCCCAAGGAACAAGTTCTTAATATATTCACCAGTTTTATTTGAAGCACTCATACTATGTTTTTATTTCATTTCCTCAGCTCCTCAGAAAGATGAGCACAAGGTCTGAGACATCTGGAGGAGCAGGTCTGTACTCAGCTCAGCAGGTTTTTACATCCCAGGGGTTCCCTTTCGCCCATCCACTCTATACTGTGAAGCCTGTTCTTCTTTGCTACCATCTTGCATCTGAAAACAAATATATATGAGATAGGAAACATGAGCAGTAGGAACAAATCAGAGTGGACCACATTGTAATGGAACATAGCTTTTCTTCTTCTCTAGTATTTACTAGAAAATAGATATCAGGTTAGTGACTGACCAAACCAACTGCAGCAGGCTTTGTAGACAAATCAGGTTTTAAAAGGCCTTTTAGATCCAGGTTTCTCATGATACCTCCTGGCAAAGAATCAGTTCAACATGTGAGGGGGTGTTTTGGCCACTGTTGAGTTGATGTCTGAATTGCATGCAGACAAAACAGCCTGTTGGTTTTTCTTTCAAACAACAAGCTTTGTTATTTCATGAAGGACTACAATTAATATTTCTTCCTAAAAGGAAAAAAAAAATCTATATTTATATTTTTGTTCTGTGAATGTATTATTTTTTACTTGAGTGGTAAGCTAGCATTGTACTTAACAAAATTGCTATCTTTCTAAAACCTGCCCTCAAAAATATAGTAGCTCAAGCCAACTATCAATGTTGTCAATACTTACGTTTCATGATTTCATGGTTGTCATGTAAGAATTCAGATAACTAAAACAAGAATGACTAATTGCTATGGCAAAATGTTACAGACATTTACAAATAATCAGTCATTGTAATGAATTACACCTGTGTACTACAGCCAATTATTAATGCTTGCTTTACTTTGCGGGGAGGGAGGTGGTAGTTATCTGATTACTGATTATAATTTTCTAGTTACAGCTGACAGCCAAATATTTTTCTTTCATTCCCAAATAATAGCTATTAGGTTAAAATGTGTTTGGGCAAATCTCCTGTGTCTTTGCACAGTTCTGCAAAAGGAGCCCAGCACAGGATAAAATCCAGGGCTCAGGCTGGGATACTGCTCTTTCTCACCATGCAAATGAATGTTTTCATGAACACGTTTCTTTCTCCCTTCTCTTGTACCACTTGCAGCATTCACTCTTATATTATGAGGTGGTTTCTCCTAGGAATGAAACTCAGGGAGAAAGAGTTAATGGCTTTTAGCCAGTGGCAGTCAAGAAGATTCACAAGGCTGTGCAAAAGCTGTTTGTGACCACTGCCTGTAACACAGAGAGGGCAGGTGTTGGCAACACCTCTGTCAAGGGCTGCTTAGAGAAATGAACCAGAGACAGAGATTTGTGCTCCACGGGGAGAACTGTTGTTGGGTTAAGGAGAAATTTAGAGAGGATGGTCTTTAATAGACCCTTTAATTTTGCATCAAAATTCATGTCAAGAGACACTGAAAATCTCTTGCTTCCTCATATGTTGATTAAAAGGTTAACTTCCAAATAAACCCCAGGTAAATGCAGCATGGCACTACTCTTTCCTTTTCAATTTTAAACAAATACCTTGCTGTACTATCAGAGCCCTCTGTTATTTTTTCTTCTTAACATCCTGTCCAAGCAAATCCAGTGCCATTTGTTCATATGTATGCACCACATCGCTTTGCCACATCAGCTTTTCATCCTTACATTTCATTCTTGTTGTCAGACTCCAGCTCCATTATCTTTTGATAGACTATTATTTCACCTCTGTCACATCCAATGTTACTTTTTATTTAAAGCAGCCCTGGCTTGAAGTCATTTAGAGGAATCAGCTTCCACTTCCACTGATGCACTGGGGCAGTGCATATACTCCTTTTAGTCCTCACAGGTATTAATTTTTATAAGGCCTTTTGTCTTCTGTGTGTAAACCCCTTTGTCATTTTACTGAGTAGCTGAACAATACATGAAACATAACTGTTCATGTACTTATTCTTATGTCACTCTAGACCTTCACTAGGGTAGCTGAAAGACTTCAAACACAACCACTCTATACACAATTATATAGATGTATAGATAATCCTCAGCTGTACCACTGAGGATTCCAACAAATCAATACTTATTCAAGTCAGTAAAATCTGACTTTTTGTGTAAAATTTTTACTCCTCCATTTCAGAAAATAATAATTAAAACTATTCTCCATAGACTTTCACACACTTTGTGGAACTCAGTATAAACCTCAATAATGCTTTAACCTGATGCAGTGAACAGCAAACTCCCACAGCAGAGGGGCAGGTCCATGGGATGCTGTTTGGCTACTGTGCTGGGTCAGCAGCTCTGGCAAAAAAGTGAGGCCAGCAGCCAGGGGACAACTTTCATCTCCCTAATGAGAAATGTTGGAGCCTTTACATCTGAATGCTTAGTGAACACTCCACCATCTGCTTCAGAGATAACTGAGGCATGAACAGGAATTATTTGCTCAGTTTTGGAGTGTGATTTAACTACAGTTAGAACCAATGTCAGTTATGTAGATTTCTGAGTTATTAAATTCCTTCAGTAGATAAGCTGACTCCCTTGCTTAGCCCTTTGATACTCTTTTAGTGATTTTAATGTCTCTATTAAATTACAGGACTGTTTTCCATCTAACAGAGGTCCAGTCATGAGCTTAAGAACAACTTATTGGATTGAAAAAAAACAAAGTTTAAATTAATGGTAGTATTATCAATCAAATGATTAGCTGCCATCTCTAGCTTTACCTTGAGTACCAGTGTCCTAGAAACTAAAATTGTAATAATAATAAATAGAAAGCCCAAGAACAATCTGAGTGCTAAGTAAATGTGGCAAATTTTGAACAGAGCCAGAAGGAAGATAAAAAGTGTGAATTAATCTTAGCCAGATAGAAACTCAGAAACTCTTAAAATACTGCCTGCTGTCTCTTCCCATATACCTTCAGCAGTAGGCAACTACCAACACATCAGTCTGTCTATGAATACATGTAAAGATAGCTGATATCCCAAGGCATCTGAAATAGCTACCACCAAACACAGAAGTAGTCCAGAGGATTCAGTAGGGACCCTGGCAAAAAAAGATAACAGTGAAGGGGAGGGGAAAGGCTGCAATTCACTGTATTTTCACTCATTTCATACCATTTTTCTCAAGATGATTGTAATCCCGCAACTATTAACCCTTCAGGCTATGCAGATGTAGACAATGAAAACTGACTACAGCAGCTACAATTCATCCCTACTCTTCAGCAAGTACTTTGAGGCTAAAAGGTAGCTTTTAGCAGACTGATACTGCAATCTGTGTGGTATTTGAAAGTGCTTAAGTATTAATGGCTGGAAATGGAACCAGGTGGGCTTCCCGAGGGACTTTTAGCTTCTGGCTAAAAGTCATCTTCTGCTGAGCAATGTATCTGAGTGAAATCAAACTCTCAGGATGTGCCATCTGTAATGCTTACAGAACCAAGAAAGCATTAGGAAAACATGCAGAAATTGAACACATCATCTAATTTGCCTCAACTAGATCTCGTTCTGCAGCTGAGCAGGAGGAGCCTACGGTACTCACCTTCTCATCTGGATCCACCTCACTCCCTGGCAGAGGCCCTGTGTAGAACCTGGGCATCTGGAGCTTTCGTGGATTGTATAGTTTCTGGAGAATATCTGTCCATGTTGGTGTTCCTGTCAATCAAGAGAAGACACATCAGGCAAAAAGCCAGGAGTTTTTGTGGTACTTTGAGACAAAGGAGAGCCACTAATTAGGGCTTGACTCCAACCTAAGGGGAGGCTGATCCCACTAAAGGCAAGTCTCTGTCAAAAGGATGGAAGTTTTCTTCCGGTTCTGAGTTTTCTCCACAGTTTATGCTGTAGCCTGTCCATTGACAAAGCATCTGATTCTAGTTGGCTATGGGTCTCCTCATCTGACAGGAAGGTGTGAAAGAGGATTTTGAAAGAAACATGCACTATAATTTCTGTTATTGATGACTTTTTCCTATTAAAAGTCAAGGGGTTTTGTAACTATTTAGTGAATTGATATTTTTTCTTACCTTCTTATGCCTCCACATTTTAATCTGCTCAATGGAAATGCTGAGGGAGCCGATGGCCTGTGGGGAAAGTGGGTAAATTAGAAACACATTCAATAGAAGACTCTGTGAGAAATCTTAAGGATTATTTTTTTTCCCTGGGAGAAAATATTTCTTTAACGTTATCCTCAGTTTTACACAGAAAGGGAGCTTGGTTATGTCAGGTTGGCCCAGAAATTTTACTTTCATCAAAGCTTAGACTGAACTAAGCTCTTTAACCTTTCTCTTCTCCCTGATCTTTTCCTAAAGGGGGACCAGGTTGCTAGTGCATTTAAACTCTGCAAAATAGATTTTCATACAGTTTTCACTAAATTTCTTCCTCCTTTCTACAAGTTCAGTTACTGCCACGCTGCAGGGCTTCTTTATAAGAAAAAATGCAAAACTTCACAAAAGACATTTTTATGCCAGCCTTGCTGTTAAACTGGGTCTTTTATGACCAAGACTTCAAAATTTCAAGTAGAGTCTAAAACTTAACATATTTAGCTTCTGTTATATAATTACAATAAGAAAAAAACAAATACACACATCATATTGAATTATATCCATATCATATAAAAATGAAAAAGGGTTTCCTCATCAAGTTAGGTGTTAAACACTTAAGGATGTAATGTTCTTTGGAAATACGATAAGCAAAATAAATCATGTTTTCAAAGTGCAAAATAACCATTGGCTAACATTATTACCAGTGTGTCACAGAACAGTTTGGCAGGAATTAATTGGTTTTGTTTACAGAGGTTTCCTTGTTACCAATGGAAGAAATTTGTTTTTTTCCTAAAAGATAACCAGTTTTCCATGAAGCACAAGATACTGAAAACTCCATTACAAGCCAGAAGGTGATGGTGGCTGCTTGTATACTATAAGGGATGGTGTATGGGCTGTGCATCTTGCAATGTTCATGTCTCCATGAATACTGTCAAATTACACATCAACCTCAGCCTCCCCTTCAGAGCACAACAGTAGAACCCTTTTTACTCAATATGGGCAAGTTCCTAAACCCCTACTGCTCCCTGCTGGACTGCAGTTCCACTGGCTTTGACCTGGAGAAAATGATGCTATTCAAGCAGAAGGTGGTAGTCAGGAAATATTTAGGAAAAGCCTCTTCTGAGATTCTCACCTTTATGTTCCTCACCAGGTTTCTCCTACTGCCTCTCACTCTTAACATGAAAAGGAAGGGAAGAGTTGTTCATGTGATGGTTTGGATAAAAAGCACTTTAAAAAAATTGAACAGGAGAAGGTGCCGCGTCCCCGCCCCAGACCACAGGAGAGTGCTTTAGGTCGCTGCCGATTCCAACGGCGAGGAAATGAGGAGAGACACTTGTTGGGGGCAAAAATCCGATGTTTATTGAGGTCCTGTGGACCCAACAGCACCGGAGGGGGCCAGCCAACAAGAGCAACTGAGGGGTGCTGGCAACAGGTTACACAGGGAGAGGGAGGGGGCCCGATCAGCCAGTGGGGAACAGACAGGAGTGACTCTTGTGGGGATTGACATCTGGGGGATCCAGTGAGGGGGAGACAGGGTAGGGGTCCCAGGACCTCATCCAATCACTCGGTGCCCTGGATGGAAGTTTCTAGAGGTAGGGGAAGGGGCACCGAGTGACAGACAAGGCACTTGGGAGGGGACAGGGGACTGACTCGGCATTTTCCAGGGAAACTGACACTTGGGGAAAGGTGGGAAAACTCAGGGAGAAACCAAAACAGTATGGGGATACACTGGAACAAACCATGACAGAATAAAGATGTAATAAAACATATAAAACTGCAACTCCACAAGAAGGAAAAAGAAGCTTTGCATTGCATAATAGGAGAAAAAGAGACTTTACATTGAGAAGTGTACAATTGTATAAAGGTAACTGGTGGTACAATGTAAAGCCTCTGCATAGTTGAGCTATCATTTAGGAAATTACATTTTTACTCCACAGATCAGAAATGTCAGCCTTTGGTCTTATCAAAATACCTTACTTTGGGGTATCTGTGATTTTTCCTCATCCTTCTGAGTTTTTCTGAGGAAAAGAAACTAATGTAGCAACTGATAATCAGCACAAACAAGCTCCAGACTCTAGTGAATTTTCCTGCATAAACAGCAGATCTCTCATAGAAAGAGGCCTTCTTTTCCTGGATATCTAAAGGCGAATATGCATGTAGGATTTATTTGTAGTACAGTAACATAAAGAGGCTCCAGCTGAGATAATAACATTTTTTTCCAAGTGCTCTTTACACAGAAAAACAGAAGTCCTTGTGTCTGAAAGTTTACAATCTATTTACAAGAGGAAAAGGAGGCATTATTGCCCCTTTTCTTGCACAGACCACATTAAGACGCTAAGAAATAAAATAATGACTCCAGAAATCACCAGAGGAGTTCAGAATCTAAATTTCCCATACTTATTGCTTGGGTAGAGTGACCTAGATTTTCTTTGCCTCCTGCTCTGTTTGGTTTGATCTGACCCAGTGACAAACATGGCCCCACAGAGGGTGTGTGGAGCAGGCAGAGGGCCAGGGGCAAACCCAAATCCACTCATGGACCCTCCAGATCACACACAACTCTCCCACTGCAATGCCAAACCCAAATCCACTCATGGACCCTCCAGATCACACATAACTCTCCCACTGCAATGCCAAACCCAAATCCACTCATGGACCCTCCAGATCACACACAACTCTCCCACTGCAATGCCTCCTCCTCAAGGGGAGCCAGGGATGTAGAAAACAGTGCAAGAGGACCCTTGAAATGTCTTCTTCCTTGCTCCCAAATCAGAGATTTCCTTCTCCTCCAAAACATAAAGTTCCAGGCCTTGTGGGATCCTTTTATTATCACCATTTGTTTTACTTTGGATGATCTCATCATTCATGTAAAATTCAACTCCTACATGAGAAATGTATACAAATGCAGGGGTCAAAGAAACTCATAGGGATTAATCCACTCTGATCTCCTTTGGGGAACTGAAAAAAGATTTATTCACGTCCTGTTTTTCAGGCCAATACCGTTCTGTATTTATTGAGTCTTCTGAGAATTTTCTCCCAGCTTTGAGAAATGTAGCCAAACCTCTTTCCTATTCCCTATGGATATCCTGGCTTTTCTCTCGGTCACATGTACAGTATGTTTTTGTTAAACTAGTATTGACTGCCACAAAAGCCCTTAACATTTCTTAACGCACTATTAAAATTTTATCTTGCAGAGTGTTTATTTATTGGAAAGAGATAGAATACTTGAATCCCTTCATACCCTCAGTAGACAACAAAGTTGAATTACCTCTGACTCTACCCAGCAGAGCTGAAAGACATCAGCAAGATTAAACATTTCCACAAAATATCATATCCATGCACACAAAAATGGGTTTATCAACACCTTGCCTCCTTTCATCTCTTCTGAAATACAAGTATTATCTTTGCTAATATCCAGCTTTATGATATTAACACATTTTTATAATTTTCTAGAAGAAATATGCAGTTGGACAAGCAAATTCATCCAAAAGTTCTGGCAAAATCCTGGGAAACCATTTACCCCTTGTTAACTGTAGGAACCTCTTGCAGTTTTTCTCCTGCCTTTAGCATCCATTGCCAGATGTATTCCTGCTATCAGTCTTGTCTTTATCTCCATATGCAGCCTCATTTCATCTACTGAAAAGAAGCTGCAGTATTTGAGTTTTGAGTAATACCTGCCTATTCCGAATCTACATCCACTTCGCCTTCTCTTTCACTATTTTCTTTAAAAATATGCATCTGAAGAACTTCATGCCTTTTTTTGAGTGTTCTTTCTGAGTTATGAGTCAGCTTGACTTAGCAATTCTCACCTCAGCACTACGATTTTTTTCCTTATAACACACAGCTCTCTTCACCCACCACAAAATTTTTCTTTCTCAGAGGCTCTCTGTCTGACTGCCCAGGCTCGGTATCAATAAGGTAGTTTTATTTATCTGTTTACATCCAGTGCTTCTTTTCAAAAATCTTTCTGTGTCACTTCGGATACAAACTCTTAATGATATAAACAGCTTGGTGACCCTCCTCTGCACTGACGCTTTATATTCTCCAGTCCAGTCTCATGAAAATTATCTGCCACATTTAATCAAACTTAACCTTTTCAATTTATTAGTCTTAGCTGTCCTATTTGTGTCTCAAATGGGATTAGTTCATGTTCATTTGGTTCCATGGTTATTTTCTATAATGTCATTTATTCTACAACTTCATTTGCTGCTTACCTAAGTCAAGTCTAATAAAATATTGCCTCCTGTAGCTTCAGTGATTATTTAGTGAATAGCAGTTAGTTATTATACCTTTGAATATCTGAGCACAATTAGTAATATTTTTTTCTCCTATCTATTAACTTACACATTAAGGATATCTAAAAGTATATTTTCCATGCTCAGATAAGACTTTGAGGTCTACAAAGAACTGACAGTACCTTGCTAGTAGAATTTTTCTTGCAAGGCATCTCAAAATTTACAGTTTTCCAGTTTCTTTTTTTAGACATGCTTATTTCATTTTCCCAAGAAACATACAGTGAGGTGTCTATATGATATCAGACAAATTACCTGTTGCAATGTGGTTGACTACAGATTTTGTTTAAAAATTATTTGGTGCTTTGTGGAATTTTTTTCTTCACTGAGAAGTGTACAGTGACATATTTGATTTTCTCCTTAGCCAGATTAAAACCAGATAAAAAGATTTCTGCTCATGCCTTCAAAAATATGCATTTGGGTGGAAGCCAAAAAAAAGAAAGTAGGATCTGCCCAGATGAATCACTCTTAATTTATTAATCTAAGAAAAGAGAGTTTATAGCTGAAAGCTTTTTGTATTTTTAACATTTGGTGGTAAGGCTCCATATAAGATAACTATAAACTATACATAAGGTTGCCAAATTATTGTAGAAGAATATAAATTCAATTTATACCAGTGATAATCAATAGAAGTGCAGACTTTGGGAAAATAATTTCAGTAGAATTTAAACACTTTATTTTTCAGATACTATTTTACAGTAAGACTTGCTACATAAATTTTATGTTCCAATAGAATTTTTTTTTTTCATG